GATCAAGTAAAAGGAAAGTATACCCTGAAACTGAGCAAGAGGTTATGTCCATAAAAAAAAGGAACCGGCCCCGCTGTTTGCACAGGGGTTCCCCGGGCCACTTGAATGGAAGAAAAATTTTCGGGTTAGTACCGGTTTACCGCCAAGTATCTGAAACTCGGTGCTCGTAATGGTCAGCTGCGCGGCGGAGGGAGCCGAGGAGAGACCGTTCTCCTTTCGTACAGGCTCTCGCCCACTGGCAATCAGTCTGATCGTGACTTTTGCGCGCTAGAGACAGTCTTGCGGGCCGTCGGTGTCGTGCTCTCTTCGTTCCACAGTTTCCACGTCCAACACGTGCGTACCGCGCATACCGTACCACATTGGTCCCGACCATCTGCAGACCTTTTTTTTTCCTCTCAGTCGGTGACCCGTATTCCACGCACGCGACCGCTGTCAGCATGCTAATTTCCGGCAGCACGTGACACCTCCTCCCGCTGGAAGAATTCGTAGCCGCCGCATTCCGTTGGATCTGCTTTTTTCGTCTTGCAGACACGATTGAATTGTCCATTGCGAGATGGTACGTCTTTAGTATACCCGTGCGACCGCTCGGTGTCTCCACCGGTACTTCCGGTATGGAGTTCCATGTCCACGTTCGAATATAATTTGATACTGGACATTTATTTTGAAAAATAATTGATCACGTGTGATTGGGGTTCTTTGATGTTAATGGTTTGAGGCACTGATTAATCTTTTGCACTCCATTGGCTCTGCTATAGAGACATGCATCATAGATCTCGTATGATTAATTATCAACTGTAAAATAGTTCTTCCTCTTTTTACTCGAATGACAGAAATTGACGAGGGAAATTAAGAGACGTGGAATCCGTGAATATTTATTATTTTTTCTTTTTCAGAATGAAATGTTGGGTTCTTGAGAGTTTTACTGTAGAAGTGAATTATTAACGTATTGAACATTTGGCGTGTAAAGGATTAAGTAGATGATAGAGAGATGTAGGATAAAATTAATAATAAGAATTGTAGCGTTAAATAATTATAAGCTGGATTTGAACACAATGTACACGGTTCTGCTCGGTAGATAAGGTTGCTCTCCAGCGAGTTCTCAGGGTCTAACCTATAAAAAAGTGTGTACTTCCTTTGGCCTAGTTGCATTTCGTATCTTCAAGATTGGTATTGTAATTTTATTTAACAGATAATTTATTATTTCCTGGCAACGTGAATTTAAATAAGAATATTTATACTTTCAGCATTTTGTATGTATTATGCAATTCTCATTCGTTACTGCTGTTTTCATTCTAGTACTTGAAGACTTGATATTAAATTACATAAAAGAGTTTGCATACATTTAACTAATATTCTAATAAAAATTGTACTTCACGATAACCTTAGCACTAAAAGATTATATTCTATGATCATCACTCAGGAATTTTAAATTATTTATGAATACCACTGACGCATGTTATGTAATCAATGATATACATTCTGAGGGCCAGCTCGACCTAAATTTGTAGAACTTTTTCCAGGTGTACCAACTGATAATTAACAAAGAACAAAATTTATAATTTTTTCTTAACAGAATACGAGAAAGTATTAACACGTTCGCTACCAGCGTCACATATTTGTGGTAATCCTATATTTTACATAATCAAAATGAAATTAATCCTGTAGATATTGTTATTAGAAATACTAAACTACGACATTATATTTAGAAACTCAATGACTCGTTTCACTTTCATTTTTCTAATATTTTGTTTAGATTTATTGGATTGAAGAAAATATAATTGAGGAGACCGCTATCGAAATAAGCGCTGGTAGCGAACCTTTTAACATTGATAAACAACGAAATTCAATAGTAACTGTAACTTTCTTTACAAGATGTTGAATATTCATTTGATAGGACTATCATTCGAAACCGAAATTATTCCGCTAGATAAGATTGTCTTTCGCAGCGGTACGTTATCTTACATTCTAACTAGCAGGAATTTTATTTTGAGAGCATCGGTTCGGGTTATCGGCTTCATAAAGCTGGCACACGAGGCCGCACGCTCGTTCGCTAGCTCCTTCGCCATTCTCGTATTATTTTCTGCGTCAAGTTCTCGAACACCGAGTGACCGTGAACAGGTGCATGTAACAGAACCACGTGAGCGGCACATGACGCCATACTGTATTTACTCCGGGGAGACTCGATCTCGGTCCTCGGTGACTGGCAGAATTTTATTTAACCCTTAACCCCTTGTCCTCTGATTCCTTTCTGAACTGTAATCGATTTAACTACTTTTTTACTAATAATTTATTGAAAATAAGAGGAAATTCCGGTTATATTTATGTCAACATGTGCTCGAACATATAATCATTGACAACAGAGGAATAATATATAATTTGCAGTCAAAGAAATTGAATAATACTTAGGTTTTTAAATTCTATTCGAAATCTTCAAGGGGTTAACCCTCTGTAGGCCGATGTAACTTTGAAGTCACGTATCAGTATATTGGCATCTTGTTGATTTGTTTCATTTTGCACTGAAAGTGGTGAATAAAATTAAGTAATCAGTTAACTTAACACTAGATTTACTGACATTTACTGTACACTTTGTTCTATTGTTCTTAGAAAAATTGTTATCCGTTCATTTAGATCTTAGAAATTAGATGTTTAAGAGTAGACAATTAAGATACATATTTGCATAACTGCGTTAACCGAAATCGACCAAAATATTTACCAAATAATATTAATAAAATTCGATATGAGTCAAATTGACTCGTTCCTTAAATCTAGTGTTAAACTTTTATACACCCAAGCGTGAACTTGAAAGTTACAAAATATATTCGTTCGATGGAATTATTGAAACTATTGAAAACATTGTTAATTCGTATTCATATATGGATATTTATTAATTTTGTACTGCTTAGATTTTGTTATAATCATGAATAAAAATTCGGTACATTAGGGGGTTAACCCTTCGCACTCGAGAGGCGATTCCTAGTCGCCATTTGATGCAACACAGTAAAATTGTAAAATTCAAGATTCAAATTACATTTTGTGTAAGGTATCAATAATTGAAACATAAAAACAAAATAGTTCTATCTCTTACATAATTTATGCAAGACTTTTCTTTGCGTTAGTTGTATGTAATGTTATCGATATTTCATCAGGAAATAACGAATATTTATAATATCAAATATTATCAAGTGCAAAGGGTTAAATTTCGTTGCAACGCGTATGAGTTGTATACGACGAGAATTTCGCACAGTACGGACATTAACGATCCCGATTAACTGTTTCGCTGTTCTTTGTAGGGGTCTAAGCATTCATTATCACTGTTGCGCAACGTGATGTACATACATTGCCTTTAATAAGTCACTGGTCACATGGTTGCCCTAAGGAAAACGTAAATTGTTATACGAAAATGGATATAGACGGATGGTTAATAAATTATTTTTAGAGTGTTAATTATACTAGCTCCGTTTGGCCACTGAGTTATATCTGTAGCAGGAGAATGAGATTAAGATGGGCTTAACACTAGAAGTATTAAATATAATGAATTTATAATATCTTATGAAAATCATTGAAGATCGTTCATTGAGAGTTTTTGTCAGTTTGATTGTAATCGTGTTGATAAATATTATACCTAATTGTGTAGTTCATTGTAATTAATAATGTAACGATGTAATATTGTATTGTTAACATAAAAATTTATTTAGGGAATTCACAGAAAATCTTTTTTCAGTTAGGGTTATTTTAAATGTAATTAAACAGTAGTGATACTAAATAATTAGATTAAGAAATTTTTTAGATAAAAGAGCTAAGGAGTATTTAATGCAGAGATTTCTTTTTATTTTATTTTTAGTGTTTATTACCTACATACGATTATTTATTTTCTCTGGGATATTTTTTAAATAATCACGAGGATTATAATTGCAAAAAAAATGTATTCACACGTGAACGATATATTGATCGTTAGATACAAATAGATGTATAATGAATATTTATGGATTTACTATGAAATTTCATGAGATGAACTCATTCTTATTCAAAATTTATTTATACCGGTGTCCTACGACATTTATGAGCAGGAATGTAGGTTTACATGTAAATTGCAGCCTTTGTCGCAATCGGTCGTACGATAACGTATTATCGCAGATAACCCGCGGTTCATAGGGATTAATTAAAATCGCGTCACGTTTCCATGCAACGTTGATGCAACCGATCCGGCCCCAGGAAAAAAATTTTTGCAGTTGACTGTTGAATTGCGTATTTTTCGTGGAACCGGTATGAATAATTGATGGTAGACAGCGTGGGATCTCCATTTTAATTTTCAATCCCTGTTACGCGAAGGTGCGCTTGCTCGAAGTAACGAACGACGGCTATAAACAATTATTTAGATAGAAGTGCAACTTTATTTTTTAAATGACAAACGGGAAAGTATTTTCCTGGTGAAATACATCATAATTAATTAGTAAGATTAAGTTCTTGGAACGAAAACGTTCCCCAGATAAATTCTATGGTATTTTTTGAATAATATTTCATACGATATCCATACAATTTTATGCAAGCAGAGTTTCTTTGTAAAATTTTGTAATATATTTTTCATACTATATATTACAGTCTATATTAATATATGTTAATCTATATTAATATTGTATATGCAAAAAATAATTGAATACTTTTATATACACTTTTATATTAAATTTAGTACTTTATAAAATTCTCAATCGCAAATATTGAGTATCGTGATAAGTAAACAATTTAAGGTTGTTTGTTATACTTATGTTAGCATAAAAATTAAAACAACTCGGAAATATAACTGACTGATTGATGGAATTAATATTTTTTTAACTGTATTAAAAGGCTACGTGTGAATATCGGTTAAAGTCTGTTTTTACAGTCTTTATTAAAATAAGTTTTTTCAAACGTTTATTAAAAAACTGAACATTTTTGTTTTTATACCAAGTTCGCCGTACAAATAAATAGATTGCCTACATTAATCACGATCATTTTGGTTTCAGGGTTCCGGATATCTAAAGCGTGCGAACACTGAACGCCTCCATGAAATCTTCAATCAGGTAAAAGCTGGATATGAATTCGCTTCAATCACGTCTTATCAAAATCATAATCCACTGAACAAGCTGAAACCAGATTTCGAGTACATTGAACGAATAAGACGTGATTCGAACCTATCTACCGTTGAAAACGAGAATTCCTGAACTGTACAGAGATTACTTAATGATTAATTAACTATTATGACTTCGCCATCAGTACTTGATTAGAAACAAAGAAGAATTCCATTTTCCTATAATATACCTTCATTTTAAGACACAACAATTAATAACTGTAAAGTGATATTTAATTTTAGCTTAAAAGAATTGATATTCACTTTCATTAACATCTAAATAAATGAATAATTAATAATTAATGAACAATAATATTTTATATTGGAATAGTATATTATGATGTTAAATAATAATACTCTATTATTATTTTTTATTGACATTTTACTCGTGTAATGAAATTAAGTAAATAAATAATTATATATAATTACATTATATTATATAATATTATATAACAATTTTAATGTTTAATTGAAAAATTTTATTCTTTTCCTATGAATCGCAGTACGCATCGCAGGAGAAAAATGGCGAGCGGTTTATGACCCCGTCGGACTTCGTGCGAAGCTATCTTGGCCTGTACATCGATCCAGACTACAATCCTGATTCCGTCAATTTACTTGCCGGTATTGTCGACACTAGCAAAGATGGGTGAGTCCTTTTCTCCGAGTGTCGGTTCACCGATTCGAATCGTATCAAGTTCGCGAAGGAGTTTCTAAGTTGTCTCGTTGAAACTTTTCCAGGCTCATATCGTTCGCCGAGTTCCAAGCGTTCGAAGGGCTGCTTTGCGTGCCGGATGCCCTGTACAAGACAGCTTTCCAGCTGTTCGACACTAATGGAAATGGAATGGTTGCGTTTGGTGAGTTGAAGTTGGATCTAAACCCTGGAGATCGGTTTAGCTGTTAATGCACGAAGCAGAGTTTCTAAAGGACCCTAGGATCTTTTATTATTAACTTAGTGTTTTTGATAATAATGATACTACTAAATGATGCTACTAAATATCAGTAATTTTCTTTGCAAAAAATTAATTTGTATTGCAGAAAATCATTCTATTTTATTTTATTTAGTTCATATGTTCATTTAAGAATTATATAGACAAATTCTTTTCATGTGAATAATTCACTTAAGAATTTATTTATTTATGTATGTACATAATGAAAAAGAGTAATTCAAATAATATAGTTAGTACTATTATGTATTTATGCATATACAGTTTATACTAGATAAGTTACAAGCCCATTAATGATCTGAGAACTACATTTGTAAAGGTATCCACAGATGTGAAGAAGCTAATGAATTATTGCTCATTTTATTGCTATATTGTATATTTTGACTGTTGGTAAGAAGCACTGTAGATAAAGTAGGAAGTGATACTTGAAAGAGTATGTTAGTATATGAAAATTAATAAGATTTTAAACAGGTTTCTTTTAATCTACGTTTATTCGATGACATTGGTGATAGAATGTAGTGTATATTGTGAAAATGTACTGAATTCCATACAAAATATATATATATTAGGTCCTTAAATGCCTCTGCTTCATATACAGAGGGTTAATGAAATGAGTAGTAGGTCTAATTTCGGTGCTAATTTACAGAGGAGTTCGCTGAGGTGATGCGGAAGACAGAGCTGCACCAGAGGATGCCGTTTAACATGGACAGCAGCTTCATTAAGCTCTACTTTGGAAAGGATAAGCAGAGGTTGATCAGCTATGCAGAATTCAGTCAGTTCTTACACGTATGTACTTCTTCAATCTCTTTTTCTATTTAAGTTTCCTCTATCAAAGTCATTCGCCATATTATCCTCCTTTCTAGGACTTCCATGAAGAGTATGCAACAGAGGCTTTTAAAAAATTCGACAAGGAGGGACAGGGTTTCATCTCAGCGTTGGACTTTCAGGATATCATGCTCAGCATCAAGAGTCATCTGCTGACACCGAATGTCAAGGATAATTTGGTTGCTGTAAGTCGCCGTTCCTTGTGTTTTATGGGATATTTTATTCAAGAAAAGACACAGCTTTCATTTGAGTACTTTAAGCGTCAAGAAATGAAACATGGAATAATTCTTTTGCAGGCGGCAAGTATCGGCCAGTCAGGAAGAAAAGTCAGCTTTCCGTACTTCATGGCGTTCAATTCCCTCCTCAACAATATGGAGTTGATCAAACGTATCTACCTGAACGCGACGAATGGCCACAGATACGAAGAAGTTACCAAAGGTATGTAACCTCACTTTCATCCTGTATAATAAAACAAATAAGGTAAATGAGTCATTTTTGACTCATAGAATGCTTAACCGTTTGCATTCGAAAGTTTTTCACTGGAAATATTTAACATTTTTCGATGAGATATAGACAACATTGTTTGAAACTAATTTAATTATAATTCACAGATAAATTAAGCGACAAAGCTATTTTATTTAAATATTTCCTCTAGCAATACAAAGTTTAATTTAAAATACTAAACATTTAACTTCATAGCTTTGTTATATCAAATCAAGTGGTGACTGAGAGTCGCCTCTCGAGTATAAAGGGTTAATATACAATTCTTAGATTTATCTCTAACACGTACCATATAGAATGGCTAAAACCCTGTAGAAACATATATAAAAGTAAGTTTCGTATAGCATTGGTACATGAACGATATTTTTCTTCCAGAGAGGTTCCTCCATTCCGCACAAATGATGTCACAGATCACACCGCTGGAGGTGGACATTCTCTTCCAGCTGTGCGACCTGCTCCATCAAACGGGGTGAGTATTTCCGATCCCGAGACCGAGTCGTTCTCTTCAGCGTCGATCGATCAGAGAAGGGTGTGTCGCGTGGAGAACGGGGGGCGAGAGAACCGCAAACGCAGGATAAAAAGAACGGAAAAAGGGACACTTTCAGTATCGAGGGTGGCGCGCGGTAGACTATTTCCCCACGCTGACCTGGTCAACGAAAAGCAAACGAATACGAGAGCAATGTAAAGAAAAAAAAGTAATACCGATGAGAAAAAAAGAAAGAAAGAAAAACAAAAAGACCATGAATCGGGTGTGTGTAATGCTATCCGTTGTACCAGCATCGTCAGCGCATCGTCATCATCCAAACGTCCTCGAGCGTCTCCGTCCCATTGCCGGAAAGAAGACACGAGGAACGAAAAACCCTACCGAGTGAAAAAATAAAAATAAATTAAACACAGTCATTTTTGTAATCGCCTTCTGTGCACGCTCGAGCCGAAAAGAAAACCGAAAGCTTTTCCAAATACTCACTATTTCCGATCTTCAGTGACCGTTAATCGAGATTCCCATCATTGAATGTATTTGTTTACGTGTTTACGCTGCCTGGATGATCAGATCTACGGAAGATGACGAGGCAGACTCGCGGCTTGGGTGCGTCTTTGTATATACAAGAATAATCACGTGCTATACAATCTGTTTTCAAAAGAGACATAACAATGTTGTTGGCCTCGCGCGAAAGCAACGGGAATTCCTCTGGAACACGGCTCCGCTAACAATTGAGAAACGAACCGTTATGGGTACAAATGCAAATTCATCCCCGTGAAAATATTGTGTTCGCTGGAGACAAAAATTCCCATTCCTTTTGCAACTCGAATCTACCTGTATGTATACATGTATATATATAATAATATATAATATTATATATTTACATATGTACGCGTACACATGTATTATATAATAATGTATATCGATAACACCATATTTGTCTCACCTACTTTCTCCAGCATATCTATCTTAGGACGATGGTATTTGCAAATGTTTGCACACAGTGGGCACTAACAATTTCATCTTTTCTTTTTCTGTCTCTCATTATTCCCTCGCCCCTGACCCCATTCGCTCGTCACAGTGACAGACTTTAAGGACCCGTTTAAGGACGTAGCTCGTTGAAGCAGTGCCATCGAGGTTGCATAACGATCATCCTAGGCATACATGCACCATTTCCCGCTCTTGAAGGGGGCAAACATAAAAAGGGAATCGTATAATATGATAACCATTCTTTCACACTCCACCTGTATATCTACCTCTTTCTTTCTATCTATCTGTCTCTCTGTATCTTTCTTCTCTTTCTCTCGTTTAAGACATATATATATATATATATATCTAATATCTAAAGAAATTAACGCTTTCACGTCGCCCGGAAGCCACCACGCACCCATTTGTATTGAGCAGGCATTTTCTCGTATTTCAGGAAAATTGTATACAATGATCTCGTGGCTATGACACCTGAGCAGTATTTCAAGCAAATTACGAAACGCCTAGCCGAGATTAAGGCGGTGTCGGTAAGTGTATAAGCGACGGGAGTAACGGTACAGATTAATTGCACCCGGTTCGGATCCTCCTGGGAAATGAAATGTATAAATTGGCGGGAGAGTTGTACGTTAGCTCCATCGTTCGACAGTGACAAGTGTTGTTCTATTTCAGAGCCCGGATGAGCGTGGCATAATCGTGCAGATACTAGAAAGCGGATACCGGTTCGTGCTCGGCTCTATCGGAGGAGGTACGTCCTACAGACCCTGATCCAATTATTTTCTTTGCAGCCTTGAAGAGTTCCAGGATCAAAGATTCATTGTAGAGAGGGTGAATCACGCGAGAATGGGGTGAACGGTACATCCCTTTGGATAGAAAGAAGGGAAAAAGAAAAGAGACTGCCTTTCATTCACTTACAACATTGTTTTGTATATACATACACATTCCTCTGAGCACTTTTAGTGGAAACAAGATTCAAACGTATCATTTTGTCCCCTAAATTACTGTCCTCTATTGCTTCTTTCTGTCTACACTTGAGAAATACAACTTGTTCTAGTTTCTTCTTGGATAAAAAGAAGGAAAGTGGAAAAAAGACTATTTTTCATTCAATTAGAGCTTTATTTTGAATACTGTTACACCTTTTGTTAAGTGCCTTTCACTTTAGTACTATTCTTCGTCGCTTCTTTCTATTTACAATTGAAAACTACAACCCCCGGTCTTTTCCTAGATAAAAAAACAGGGAAAACTATTTTTCGCTCGGTTACGCTTTTATTTTGTGTACACCTACACACTTTCCTAAGTGCCTGAACGACGACACTACGAATGCACGGTTACACAACCCTAAATTACCGAACACCGTCTGTCGTTACTTCTTTCTATCTACAACTGAAAAATACAAGTGGTCCCAGTGTCGTGGGTCACCCTATAACGTTAGGTTAACTTTGTCAAGCCGTGAAGACCAGCTCCTCGCGGAGAGGACCCGATTAAGGTAGAGTCAGTGATAAGAACTAGACGAGCTATATTTTGTACAGCGGTGGGCGCGACAGCTGTGTATCCTATCGACCTGGTGAAGACGAGGATGCAGAACCAGAGGACCGGCTCATTGGTCGGCGAGCTGATGTACCGAAACAGCTTTGATTGCTTGAAAAAGGTTGGAATCGAAAAGTCTCGCCACGACACACCGCCTGCATTGTTAATCATGAAGCTGGTGTCTCGTGTTTGACAGGTAATCCGGCACGAAGGTTTCTTCGGGCTTTACAGGGGTCTGCTCCCGCAGCTGATGGGCGTTGCACCGGAGAAGGCGATCAAGCTGACAGTTAACGACTTTGTCAGAGATAAGTTCATGGATAAGAATGGCAATTTGCCCCTTTACGGGGAGATTATGTCCGGTGCCTGTGTAAGTGATCCGGGAACTTTTCTTTTCATTCCCTTCATCGTCATCCACTATTATTCATCTTTCTAACATTGTGTCGTACATTGAATTAAGGTTTCTGAACAATAGTATTTTCTTTTCAGGCTGGAGGATCTCAAGTAATATTCACGAATCCCCTAGAGATTGTTAAAATCCGGCTGCAAGTGGCTGGAGAGATAGCTGGGGGTTCGAAGGTCAGAGCTTGGACCGTCGTCAGGGAACTGGGACTTCTTGGACTGTACAAGGTAAATATCTTCAGGGATTCGATGAAGAAGAATGTGTGTAATATTTGTTTCTACACCTTCTTTACTTCCAGGGTTCTAGAGCTTGCTTCCTTCGGGACATCCCCTTCAGTGCCATCTACTTCCCTATGTATGCTCACACGAAAACCCGATTGGCGGACGAGGGAGGTTACAACACACCCCTTTCGCTCCTGTTCGCTGGTGCATTCGCTGGTGTACCTGCAGCAGCATTGGTCACTCCTGCTGATGTGATAAAAACCAGATTACAAGTGAGTTTATTCGTATTCAGCAGGATAATTGTGCTATATTGAAAGTTAGCTTAGTAATTTTTGTTTGAGTAATTATTGTAAAATAAATTATTAAGTTACACATGTATTATTAATTCTAATGGGGTAAAATAGTCATCCTAAATACTTGACTCTAGTATTGCAATGAAATTGATTCTTTAAATAAATTTTGTAAATACTAACGCATTCATCTTTGGGTAGGTGGTAGCAAGAGAGGGTCAGACAACGTACAATGGTCTGCTGGACTGTGCAAAGAAGATTTATAGGGAAGAGGGAGCTAGGGCGTTCTGGAAGGGAGCATCAGGTACGGGATTCTATTATATTCAGGAAACGAATCATTACGGATATCTTGATGATAGAAAAGCTAGAAGTGCAGGACATTTATTTTACGTTCTATACAAAAACAGTTAGTAATATATTTTGATTTGGTCGATTGCATGCGCGGGGATCGGCCCTGCTGCATCTTTCGACTATTCTTCCCCCTCCAATATGACCTGGCAACTTGCTTCTAAGTGAGTACATGTTTTTCTCTGTGCCTGCCAGTCTCGTGGTTTTTCAATTTTTTGTTTAGCTACTCCTCTCATCATGTCTCTCTAATTTTGAACTTCGATGAGTTTGTTTCTACGTCGAATGATCGTCGCACGATTCTGTTCACCTCATATGATTTACTCTCAGCCATTGTTTCACGTGGACATCCCATTAAATCGTATCCTTGCAGAAGAACATATTTGGAAGTTCAGTGTCCAGTGTTTCTCGAACTACGTTCATTAACATTCATCGAACACAGTTCTTTAATGGTATGCCACTGTGCGCAAATTGTTATTTAAACGGAGAACACCGGACTAGTGTGTGGACTTTGGTGCCCGGGTCCTCTTTCAAATTGATTCTAGGTGCATTCTGTTTTTCTGCTTTACAGCACGAGTGTTCAGATCGTCGCCTCAGTTTGGCGTCACCCTGTTCACCTATGAACTCCTGCAGAGGCTCTTTGTGGTTGATTTTGGAGGATCGTAAGTATATGCGTAAAAGGAGAATCATTAGCTTTAGAATAATGAAACTGCTAGTCATTTGGTTGGCTTTAAAACTTTTACGTTTCTTAAATATAATTATTTATCAAGGTTATGCATTTAATAATGTTCAACCTTTAGAGCTCTTTTTGAAAAGCTAAAAAAGCTAAGTAAACTAAAGCATCCGCCATTTAAATTACTAAGATTTCTTCATGTTTAACAATTTTTCAATTCTACATGGATACAAGTTGCTAATCCTAATTCAAAATGTACTAGCAGATAGATTTAGACGTTCTCAATTTTGAAAACACATTTTTCCTTTTAATCTAGAGAAATTTGTTTGCCAATCTAATGTACCTACAGCGATTACCAACTATAAAAAGTGAAAACCCGTTTATCATAATAATTTCAATGCGCATTAGATTACTTCTGTTATGCTCATCTTATTTTTTAAATTCCCTGTATTACCGATTCCTTTCTCTTCTATAAAACGAAGGTAACATCATTGTTGAATCAAATGTATTATTTACAGGCGACCCGCTGGATCCGAGCTGAAGATACCAGCCACAGGAGTGGCACAAGAGATACGATCGACGAACCCGGACCACATAGGCGGCTACCAGATAGCGTTGCCAATCTTCACGGGTATAGAAACGAAATTCGGTCTTTGCTTGCCCAGGTTCCAGGCGATCTCTCCAGGGAAACAACTAGAAAAGTAAGGTCGTAGCGAGCCGTCGTCGTTAGGAAAGCAAAAAGAAATGTACGAGCTCCATAGAATCACAAGAAATAACCGAGTCGATCCGAGTCTTTTTTCGAGCTGTCGTCACTGATTGATCCGGCGAGCGGAGTCGCGCGTTTTAAGCCCGGCTTCGCGCTAGGAACCATCCTCGGATTCGCGCGGGCTCCTTCGACAGAGTGTCTTATGTAAAAGGGAACTAAGAAGAGGAAGCGGAAGATGACAGGGAGATATTCAAGAGCCGTAAAACCTGAAGGAATCCGATTACCACGAGACCAGCCTGGATCAAGGAAAACAATGTAGCGATCTTTTAGGATTCCTTTAGTGGACTTCAGTTCCAGAGCGAAAATTCAACGCGCACAAGACATCTTCGGTGATCGTCGCTGAGAGTCAACCATCATGGAACTCTAAGTAGAGGTCCAATCTCGAAACGGTTTAGCCTAAAGACCACTATTGAGAACGTTCTTCACCGATCCGTTTACGCTTAACCGATTATGCGTGCATAGAGCTCGAATGGATTGACGATGAGAAGAAGCAGAACGTTATTATCTTTCTTTCAATTATAAGGCCTCCCAGCGATTGCAACCAGAAGATAGATGATTCCTCGCGCGAAGACAAGGCGAAATTGAATTATTCCATTTTCGTCTTACCTTCTCGCTAGGAATCATCATTTATGTTTAGGTTATTCTGCGATCACTGGGACACCTTTTACAGTTCCCGTCATTTAGCCTGCACCCTTGCGTTTTACCATTTGCATTTGATTCTGCATCGACGCAGCAACAATATTTCGGTAACAACGCTGTACTTCTATGGACTATTCTAACTGGAAGGAAACCGAGAAGAAGACGCGGAAAGGGTGGGAACGACGCTGTCCCTTTCGATATTCAAATCAAAAATGGCTGAAAAGAGAAATGCTGATCAGAGAGAGAACCGGTTCACGCTTCAAGCTCTTGCACCTTACTTTTTCTACTTTTTATATATACATATTGTCTCGCCTTGAATTTTGGGAACGAACATACTTATTTGTCAGAGTCGGACTATTTTTGTAGGTTTGTACGCTACGCGGACCTAGCGCGCGTCATCCCGGAAGACACTCTCGTCAGTCCTAACGGACAATCGTACCATTTTTAAACTAGCTATACGGCTCGTTTACCATCGCTCTGTTCCTTAACCCCTTGGCGTACTATTTACTTCACTAGGCAGGTGATTATTTCACTATCAACAATTTAGAAGAAATGTAACAAAATTTTCCATTCTACTTCAAGTGGAAATCTCATTTGAAGACAATACATTGATAGTAGCAAAATAGTTGTTTGCTTTCCGTGGGTCATGAACTACATTGATTATTAAATTAATCTAGAAATCTTCGTCGCGAGTCTCACTCGTCATTGTACGGCAAGGGGTTAAACTCTTCTTCTAGTCGCGACTGCCATTCGTTCCTTCATTGTACGGTACACGATGTAGGTCCATTCCATCGTCCCGCGTTTCCCTCCATCATAAAAAACGTTCTCGCGGGATGTGTTCTTGTGTTCCGTTCTGAAATTCAAACACGAGCGCCGCCACGGAATCTTTCATTGCTGCGTATTCCTTCGCACGAGCTCCCCGTTTTGATCATAGCGACTTCTGTCAGACCCCGACATAATACTGCACTTTTCCATCGGTTACGAATCACCGGCGACACCGTAAACAGCGAACGCCTGCTACGCTTGTTCCCCACGTTTTAAATGCCGTTGCGTATCAAAACTGTATTCTCCTTTTGTTCTGCGTATTAGCGGGAAGCGTTCATCAGCGTCCAAAGTGACCACGTATTATCTCGTGACCTGACACGCTGCCAATAGCCGGTTCAAATGATCGATATATTTTTGTAATAAGCGGAGCGACAGAGACAGGGAAACAGGGGGAGAGAGATATGTACCAGTTGTATATTTGCGGCTAGCAGAGTGTTTTCTCTGTCCGTGGAGAGGGGTTGATCGTGTACATAAATCAGAGGGGTACCAGTGAGACGCACGAGCCTGGTCGAGGTTTCAGGGTTGCAATTCAGTTTTCAAGGGTGACTCGCAAAAATAATTCTTGCCGTCTGGGACTCCTAACAGCCGGTCACGAGCGGCAAGAATCATTTGTGCACCGTCTACTCACTTCCATCAGGACTGTAATTAATTGTTATCATTAGACTGCGATCTTTGTGCAGATTTATATTTTCTTTCTTATGTTATTTTTCATGATGCACGATATTAACATTAGAATTACCGAGTACTTAAACCGTCTTTTGAGAATGTCTTTATAAAAGCTATATGCGTGGATTTATTAACATTTCAATTGGCTTATACTTCAGTTTAGGTATTACTAAATCAACTTCTTTAATCATTTCAAGAAGTATCTGTTTGTTTGCAGTCATTCTAAAAAAGGAAATTAGGAATTGATCATTTTGACCCACCTGGTAGTTCTAGTGTTGAGAGGAAACTTATAATCTTCATCTGAAAATTGAAGGTTAAAGATGAGGCAGTGAGACAATTTTATTTTTACATTATGATTTATATGGATGAATATCTTATTAACACGTTCGCTACCAGCGTCACATATTTGTAACGGCTGTAATTCTATATTTTACATAATGAAAATGAAATTAATCCTATAGATATTGTTATTAGGAATTATAAACTACGACATTATATTTAGGAACTCAATGACTCGTTTCAATTTCATTTTTCTAATATTTTGTTTAGATATATTGGATTGAAGGAAATATTATAATTGAGGACACCATTACCGAAATAAGCGCTGGTAGCAAACGTGTTAATGCGTACAGACTGTATCGTTTCTTTGTATGATAATATTGAAATGTCTAATTGATATTTGTCCCCATTTTGGAAAGTTGAAGAACTTATCACACTCTGAAGCCTCGCACACCGTCGACGGACAACGAGATACACGTTCGTGGCCTGCGTCCTGGCCAAAAATATCAATTCAACCATCCTGATCATAGTTTAATGTACATACATATGTTGTATATGTAAAATAATTAGCTTGTGTATATACATGCACCATTGGCGAATGTGAACATTGAAGAAGATTATTGTATTCAACCCAGCTTGAATCAGCTTGTAACTCTTATCAGTTCAATCTGTTCAGGCGTGATTTGAAACTGTATGTTTCCATATACAGCGGAGACCTCTGAGATTGTAGTTGAACACGATAATCCTGGACAGTGTCCGCGGTTGTCCAAGTGCATTGAAATTATGAGATACATTCAGGAATCCGTCGTGGGCATTAGCAGCTCGATACACTTTGGTTTTTGTACTACTACTTGTGCACCAGACTATCTTCGTTATTATTGTCGTCACAGATTTTTAATGTTGCTAATGGACATCTCAGCCGAGTCTTAATCTCGCTCTATACAAGAGCACTGTGGGAAGGGAATCTGAAAAGGAAACAGAGAATTGATAAATTTCTATGCCATAGAAACCAGTGGTCTTCAGAGAATGGAGAATTTCTTCAGTACTATTTCATTTTGTCTGTTCACGCGCGTTACGTCAAGACATCCACTTGACCGGCCTAAAAAAAGAAACCGTGGAGATTATGGGTTTAACGATTCTCAACAATTTTGCGTTTCAACATTCCATGACCGTCTCTCTGAAGGTAACTTGTTAGCACAGCTACTGTCAATCACGTTCGTATTCTTTCCCAGCAGAGATCGTGAACAATATTATTGGATTAGGGTCTCTTTGCCTGTAAAACGGAATGTCTGGAATTTCGACCTTTGTTCACGGGTGGTCACGGTTTCATATGTCACGACCACCCGTTCGCGGCAGACCTACACTTAAATGGTCACGCGATCGCACAAAACAAGGATATAGAGGAGAGAAACTGAGCGAATTGTCTGTATTTATAAATCTATATTTTACGAGTAACTAAAGAAAGGGGAACCTCTTAACACGTTCATTGCGGCTCCGCGAACAAGCAGCTACAGAATCTGCTACATACAGGAGGGAAAAGAAATATTCTTATCCCACTTATATTGCAAATATTATTGTCAAACGAAACCGAGATAGCTGAATATTTTCTTCTCTTATCGTACTCTCATTTTTCAAAATTGTAACACTTCATTTTCTGGAGAATTGTCAATTATGACTTGAACAGCGGACCATTTTGGTAACTGAACAGTAGGCATGTTATTGTTCAGATCAAAATCCGCATTTCGTCATTTGGCATTCCGGTATTGATTGAATTTTTTTAACCCTTTGCACTCCAGAAGTTTTCACTGGAAATACTCGATATTTTCTAATGAGCTGCAGATGATTTTCTGAAATTGAGTTAACGAGAAATCATACGTTGAGGAAGAAAATATTGATCGATATTAAACATCAAGCTTTACAATTTTACTGTGTCAAATCAATTGATGACTGAGAATCTCTGGAATGCGAAGAGTTGACACGTTGAATGCCACTGAATTAATTAGTGAATTACTATAGTTGACTCAATTAAACGATGATTATTTGAAAAAATTTCTATATTACAAATAATCCTACCTAATATAGTGACATATAGCTAAATCACTGTGCAATAATAATAATGCAATTTAATCAAATGATTTAATATTATATTCTTTTCATTTCGTGTATTTTACTTTATAAAATCGTGCGTCATTCAATGTGTTAACCATTGTAATTGAAAATTCATATTAATGTTTACCTTTATAAATTCGATTCTTTTTCTTTTATATCATTCTTATGGTTTATAATGAAAATTTGTTGAGTGAGGATTAATTATTATATTGAATGATAATTTATCGGTTCATTTAGAGTGGAAAAGCAAATGTAACAAAAGATAGATGAAAAGAAGCCCGCATAGAACGTGTTAATGTGTTAACGTGTGAGCGATCGGTACGTGTATTTGACTAGACGAAGGAATTAAGTTCGTTTCCGTGGATCATGTTGTGTGAGATGAATTTCAGGAATGTAATTTAAACGAAGGATAAAGGATTAACGATATAACGATAAAACGATAAATAATAGATTAAATAATGCTAGGTATTTCTCGCCCCTCACCCGTCACCCTCCGCAGTTGACGCAAATCGAATCGACGTTCTATGATCTGTGATCTACTCGTGTCAGATTCTTAACGGTAAACCGGAAGGCCGATTAGTTAGACAATTTCGAATTCAATTCTTACGAACTTTCGTCAGTCGTAATATCTTTGATAATTTAGATTTACCTCATTGCGAATTGTAAACATATAAAGAAGTGGAAGAATGAGATACCTAATTGTGAATAACACCTAAGCTGTTGCGCATATATTTTAAAACAACAATAAATATTATTTAAGAAATACGTTTACTGCTTTTCATTTGACGTTTACTTTGATAAGGTCGCCGTCAGATTTTAAATACTTAGATAACTTCCGTGAGACTAAAGAAAGATCAGCGCCATCTACCACAAAATGCTGAACCCATTGACGCATAATTATAAATCTATGTGGGTAAATAGAATAAATATAAATTTATTTATAAATTTTTTATTTAATTTACATTTTGTTATTAAAATTCTTTATTATTTGCAGTGACCTAATATTAAAATAGACATTTTTAGCTTTAATCTAGTGTGTCGGATATTGCAAAATCTTAACAAGATTTAATAAGAAATTTTTTGCAAGAAATATACTGTATATAAAGTCCTCTAGAACTCCAGGTTTGTAAAATGTATTTTAGGGCTTTAATTAATTGGTAATTAGATTTTATGTAATACCTAATGGTTTGTAGTTCCCGCGTATATACGCATAGATTTAATAAGTTTGAGCCGAGATGATTGGGATTCCCCAAGAGGTAGGAGTTCGCCCAAGATGTAGATAAGGATTCGTGTAACACGAGAAGTCTGTAAATATTGTGAGTCTATATTATTTATTTTTAATCTCACTTGAAACAAAATTGTAATTACAAAATAAAAGGTATTTTTATTTGGTAAAAAAAAATGAAAATGTATTCAGTTAAATTTACAAGGTATATCAATAGATCATACTGCTAATATAAAATTTGTTTCCACAAGTTAAATAAGTCAGTAGTCAAAGAATCGATTGGAAGAAGAAGTGTTTCAATTTTTTGGTGATTACTGGCTTTAACAGCAACACTGTCCATTAAGAGACACTATGTGATGCTTTTACGAATAAAAAAAGAACAAAGCAGATCTTGCTTCTTATACATTGTGATAAAAATATAACGCAAATATGATAAAATAAATATAATGTGTAAAAAATATTAAATAAAACTTAATTAGAAATCCAGAGCTTGCAGCACTTGAATAACTTCTTCAGTCTCATTGTTCTTTTGTCTTTTAACAGCTAGATGCATCGCTCTTAAAAATTTGGTCAAAGTGCACCGTTTAGTTCGCAAATAAAAAGCGTGGGCGAGAAATGGAATTTTCCTTAAGCTTCGTCCACTCATACCAAAACTTTCCTGACTAAGATCCATTAACTTAAGACTATTCGTTGTGCTCATTTTTTTTTCATAGCCCAACTTCTTCAAATAAGGTAAATCAAAAATCTCTTCTGGTTCCATGAGTTTTGCCTAAAACAAATATATACATATAAGCAATATATTCCATGAATTGCATAAAATAATATACATTTACCCTCATTAATTCTTTCAGGCAGGAAGCATAAATTTTATATATAGCTTGATAAGTAGGATGTCCAATAAATTGTTTTATGTCTGCCCTATCAATGAACGCTACGTCAATAGCTTCAGACAGATTACTAGTTGTCAAAATTAAAACATTTGGATATCTTCTTATTTGGTCTAACTGTGTTAATAATGCATTTACTACTCTTATAGAATCAGTAGGTTCTATTCCGTTAGCGCACGATTTACGAGCATGTGCTAGAGATTCTACTTCATCAATTAAAATGCAAACAAATGCTTGTGAATTTTCAAGCAAGTTTCTTATTTCTTTAAATAGCTTCATAACTAGTTTTCCACTCTGGAAATAATCAAAATTTATTTATAGATTCATTACTATTATCAATGTAATGTAGCATTAGAATATTACCTCAGAGAACCACTTTGAAAAAAGACTATGGCTATTTATTTCAACAAATTCACCATGAGTAAATCGCTCTCCTAAACGAATGGCTACTTTTTGAGCTAAAGCTTTACACAGGGTAGTTTTACCAGTACCTGGTGGGCCATGTAATAATACCACTTTATTCCAATTTATAATATTGGAATTAACACTATGGTCTGAAAATATCATTGTTGTTTCTACAAAATGTAACAACTGAAAAAAGTAAAAAACATACATAGTTTCATATATGTTATAAACATTGAAACAAGTATAGAAAATAAAAAAATTACAACTAACATCTTCCTTTATGTTCGAATCGAAGTAAAGATTCTCCCACAAAGAATGAAATTCTTTTGTAGGTAAAATCCAATGTGAAGATACTGGCAAATCTTCAGAGTCATTTTGCATTGTTTCTGTCGCAGCATCTTCTTGAGTTAAATTATATACATGAAACTTTAAAGCTGCACCTTGTACTTTCATATTAGTTCTCTGTAACAAGCAGATTTACTTTGATATATTTCAGCAAAATTCATTACATTCTGTGAATTACCTCTCCATGGCTTGTAGAACATATTATAGAATCCACATGATTTTTTAAAGTGTTATTCGAGAGATTTTCTCCATGCATAGTAACATCTAATGTCACATATTCCAATGCATTTATTTCTGCATATGCTAATTTCTCTATCTCATTATTCGACAAAGTACTACAATTAAGGAATCAAAACAAATATTTTTTTAAAATCAACGAAAATTAATAACAAATCTTTATTATAATATAAATAAAAATACGCATGTTGGCGAATAACTGATACCTGTTGATATTTCGACAGATTTCTACATGTAAAACCTCCGGTCCTTCCATTTTATATTTATTAAAGAAACCTTTCAAGAAGTTACAATGTCTTAAACAAAATCTGGATATAACTTGCAGTTCCTTTGTGATTAAAACTTTACTCGTGTTCACAGAAACCGGATGAGTATTTAAACAACGTTTAAAACTTATACGCAGGTGCCTTTCAAACAATTGTAAGAGGGAAAGAGACGGCAGTGTGAGAAAGATGAAAAATTCATGCCTGGTTTCCAATAGAAGAACTACATTTATTTATAAATAACCAGTGAAATTTATTTGCAATTTATTTACATTTATCGTTAAAATGTAATTGTAATATATATATGTATATATTGTTATTTAATAACGACTGATTTTGCCGAATATTTAGGACAGAAGTGTCTAATTTACTCCCCTCCAGCTAGTAACTCAAAACCAGCCTACCCCCACTATCTTTACTAAAAGAGCTGTCCAAACTGGTATGTAAATAATTATATGCAGTGTTCAGTCCACAAGTAAGGGTAAGTATAGAGAGGGTAACTTTTCGTGAGGGGAGTGTCACTAGAGTGAGCACCTATTTAGCTACCCTCATCATAGGATACGACACCCGTTCGCAACGATAGGGTAACTCCATATCCTGTGAAATGCGCAAACTTCGTTGCCTAATAGTTAGAGTATTTTTTACATAGATGGCGCCACAGTCAATCCGGGTGAACTCCCACATCGGTAACATTTGTCTACCAGTTTGGGCGTTTTACCACGGATGACGCCACTATCTTTCCTTGTAAATTCCCACATCGGTAACATTTGTCTACCAGTTTGAACGTTTTGCCACGGATGGCGCCACAATCATATATATATATGATTATATATATATATATGATTATTCACACATTTATAAATAAACATATATTACATTACTTTTTTATTTCTTTGAAGATTATAAAAGTATATTATAAAATGAAGAGATTTTTTTAGATCCACTGGAAACATTATTAATTTTCTTATGGGATCATAAACGATAAACATGTTCGATAAATATACAAATTTATTTTTCTTTTAACAATTACAATTGTCACTGCGGTATAATTACATTTTTCATAAGAAAAATCACAATCATTCTATAAATGTAGCTAATATTTTATATGATTCATTCAGTCGTCTTTGAAAAAAATGGAATGCATCCAAAGTTGACTTCATTGGCGAATCACATCTCTGGTGGACTGCAATAAGTACTGTTTGACAATTAATCCAGTCCTGGTGCAATATAACGACCGCAAAAAATAATAAAAGATTTTATAAAGTAGAATTTTCCACCCTAATTCCACTCTCTGCTTGTGCTAAAAATGTTCACAGAATTGCTTACAAATAGGTTTTCTCGAGTTTTAAAGTGCGAGTATCAGAAGATAAAACATTTCAATTATACATTAAAAATAGAAAAAATTAAGAATAATTGTATAGACTATTCTTGTTTGCAGTGGAATGACCGCCCTTTTCACGAAACCAAAAATAAAATGAAATATTATCTTAGACTCGAGAGATTCCAGAGATTGTGAATCTCATTTTCTTTGTTGTACATGTTATATTGATACGCCTTAATCACTATATAATGAATTGAATATACATTTTAATAAACACTAAGCTCTACTTATCTACTAAGGCACTCTTTATCGAGGTTGCCCTTTTGATACCATTTAAAGTTTTTACGCGAATTTCGAAGGTAGTTGATAATTCGTTTTGAAAGTTGCAAAGAGATTAATAGTCTTTTTACAATATGTAAAATTTTGCAAACAATTTAGAGCTATATCTTTTACGCAAAAAGTGTGTGATCGTGATTAACTTTTGTGTAGATAGAATAACTTTATTAGAAGACTATTGTTGTTTCGATAAAGGAAACATTGATAACGCAAATGACGAATAAAAAATATTTTATACATATTTCACGAAGAGACAAAACTTATAAAGTTTCATAACACGACAAAGGAAATTATCTATTATATGATTGCTTTACACAGATTTTTAAAATCTCATAAATAAATATATTTTCAATGATTAATGATATATTAAATAATCAAATACTTGAAATAGAAGTATCTACGTTCGTCTTTGTACATTCAAGATTGCTTATAGTTTCTATCAAAGGTAATAAGTTTTATTTAAGTAAGAAAATTGTTGTATCATTTGATAAGCCATAATATTTATGTGAGAAGTAAAAGGTGTTTATCGTTTACTAATATTTAATATATAGCCTACTGAAATGAGTTTACCATTAAGTAGATTTTAAGGTATTTTTACAAATAGACTATGAAGTTTCAAAGAGCACCTCCTTAAAATTGTAAAAGAGAAAGCTGAAGGTACATATTGATTTGTCAATTTTTAAAATGCTGATTCTTATTCCTGCCATCATTAAACATTTTTCACCCAGCTTATCGTAAGCAAAATTTGAAGTCTTAAAAGGGGAAGTAATGTTCTCTAGATTTGTGCGATTAAAAAATGTACCTTAAGCGTTCAGAAAGATTATATGGAATAAAAAGATTTTAAGACAGTCTACATCTGTCTCTATTTCCAGATGATACAACTTCCAGTGTACGCCGTTTAGCCACATCTTCATCTAGCATGGAAGCCTGAAGAGCTCTTGCTAAAGCTTCATCCTCGCTCATACTACCTTGATAGTTCTTCATTATTTCACCATTTCTCCTATTCACATTCACATTATTTTCTAAATTGTCCAATCTTCTCCTTCTGGTAGCCTCTTCCTGGCCTATACATGCATGGTCCGTTGGGTGTCTATGTTTTAAACAGAAATTCTCACCACAATCAGAACAACGTACTTGTACTATTTCTTTAATTTTACAGCCTTTTGCTGAACATCTGACAAAGGAAAGTAAATAGGTTGTTAATATATAAATTTCAAAAATATAAAAGAATCTCTATAATCATGACACCTCACCTATTAGAGAAAATTTTTCTGCTTGGGTTCCTTAAATCCGACTGGCATTCATTGTCCATATGTTGACCAACTGCAATGTCTGGAGGATCACCGCGTTTTGTTGGTACCGGTGTATTACAAAGTGGACACACCGGGACTTGAACATCTTTCTTATAAGCACTCGGACAACTGTGGTGGTTATATGATATGTGTTCAGTACAAAAAATTGCAGAGCATGCATCACATTTTAATGGCAGAAAGTCCAATCGGTTGCAACTATTTTCTGAGCAATGTTCTCCTAAATTTGGAAACTCCATTTTTTATTGTGAGATTCTAAAAGGACACAACAGAATACACTTACAAACTGAAGTACTTTGAGAACTACTGAATACATGGTCAACGACAATTTTAAATTAATACGTACCTACAATCACGTTAAACTGAACTTTTTGAATATCTCTTGAATGTTCAACATCAACATCTCACTTTTACCTTTTATCACAGTATGGTGAATATCACTTAGGATAATTCTTATATATTTTCAAAAAATTTTCCTTGCTTTCTAGTTAAACAAGTGAAACAAACGCTTGATCAACAGCAATATACGTAAATGACTAGTCATTAGGATTTGACGTGAATATATACTAATAACGCGCTTATGAAACGGACGGAACATTCACGACATCAAAGGAATAACGCGAATAAGCATGACGTTGCTCTCGATGGTTCATCAGTTCGCCAAAAGATAGCATGTTCTTCGACAGCAAAAGTTTCGTTAGGGAAAATTTCTATCCTAGTTCTCCCTATAACTTAAAGTCAGTTATTTAGTTAGATTTTCATATGGACCAATTCCACGTTCACCAACTAATATTGAACTCATATTTAGTCTTCTTCAATACAACAATCCGATGAAAATTCGATGATTTCCTTTTTACACTTTGACGCCTACTGTTCGAGGAATGTTTCAAGAATTTCTCTTCACAAAATCATTACTGAATTAACTGGTTTTCACCTATAATAAAATATTTATTAATATATATTATACAATTATTTAATTAAAAGTAATATATTTTATCTACATATATTTATCTACACGTATAAATCCCGAAAGGAACGCATTGAATTTTCCCGCAATCCGTGGAAATTGTGTTCCAGTTCCGGTCGTTCCGATGGTTCCAAACGCGTGGAACACGGAGCGCGCTCTCGGCGATTTACAATCATAAACTTGAGTTTGCTTTGTACTTATCACTGGAGCATGGTTTTATTATGATTTTTGAGCGCCAGGTGGCCGCGTTTTTGTTGTCCATTTGTCGAACGGTACAGGTCTCAGCGCCATTACATCGATAAATGTCATTGTATCCGCGTCCCGCAAAATAATTTTGAACCGATAATTAATTTCAAATAAACCAGGCCAGCCGATATGTCGAGCAAACGGAAAAGTGCGACGACCAAGAAAGGCCGTGGCAAAATGAGAAAGGTCGAATACGACGATGAGGACATTTCCAGTGAGCACGATTCGGACGTTGATGACGCCGAGACCGGTTCGAACGCCAACGGTGAGGACGCTACCGAAGATGATCTTACCGATGTCTCCATTTTCCCGGAATTGCCGCCACCTGAGGTGAGAACACTTTCATCTTTCTTGTGTGCTTGTTTATCCCGGGTAGAGGACTCGCTCGAACCTGGATGATGGAAAACCGACTCATTGGCTAAGTTTGGGACTCGACCACGCGTTCCTAACATCATTGAAAAAAAAGAAATATGTTCTTTATCGAAGAAAGGGAATCGTGCACCCTATTCGCAACGCTAATCGACTTCACAGGTGCAAATAATACCAAGAAGAAGTTCCTGTACATTGTACTTTCATGTCTATGTTTCTCTAATAAATCTGTTACCACTTTCCATACTTGTGACCATTTGGACTTAAATTTCTACTTGTCTGTACCCTATTCGAAAATAGAAAAAGAAATTTCTTTGTTGGACATGCTCAATAGAAATGAAAGTTTGTAGAGAGAAAACTTTGTAGAACAATGTTGTTCTGTCGAACAAAGAGACTATACGTGTCTATTGTAGGGAGGATGGGGAAAGCCAGGAACATTGCTCATGTGTGGTCTTACGAATTGGGAAATGGCAGGTCGCAAGGCACCACCAAAAGGGGTCAAGCCTAACGTGGGTCGTAGCTTATGGACGCCGCATACTTTTAAAAACTTGAACGGGTCAAGAGTTAGATTGGTTGCCTCTGGTCCAGCCGCTTCCCATAGCATTGTCGTTACTGAGGATAACAGATGTCTAGCTTTTGGTCGAAATGATAAAGGTAACTACTCTTGTTATCAGAGATTTCTTAAGTCTTCGTCGGGGAAACTAGAACATTTTTATCGTTATAGGTCAATTGGGCATTGGAGACACTAAACGTCGAGATGAGCCAACCGAAGTTACTGCATTAAGGGGACACACCGTTATAGCAGCATTTTGTGGTCGTAACCACACCTTATTTTTAACGAGTCGCGGAATTGTATTCGCCGCTGGGGACAATAAGTTAGGACAATGTGGAGTTGGGAAGAACGATGCCTGTATTGCTTCTGCGACGAAAGTAAAGTATACTGGACCACCCATAGTGAAAATAGGTTGCGGCGCAGAGTTTTCGATGATCCTAGACATTAAAGGTGGTTTACACTCGTTCGGAAGTCCCGAGTACGGTGCTCTGGGCCATAATACAGATGGCAAATACTTCATAACAAACACAAAGATGGCATTCCACTTTGAGAAAGTGCCTAAAAGAATCGTTTTGTACGTCGAGAGAGCAAAAGACGGTCATGTCACGCCGCTGGACCGCGTCGAGATTACGGACTTTAGTTGTGGCCATTATCACACCGTCGCGATTGATAGCAAAAACCGCGCGTTTTCTTGGGGATTCGGCGGCATCGGTCGTTTAGGCCATAACGAGCAAAGAGACGAGTTGGTACCTCGTCTGATCAAGTTCTTCGAGCCACAGAGCCGTGGCGTTAGAGCTGTCCACTGTGGCAGTACTTACAGCATTGCCATCAACGTGCACGGTTCTGCCTTGATGTTCGGCCAAACGAAACGTACCGGAGAAGCTAACATGTACCCAAAACCGATTCAAGACTTATCAGGTTGGGAAATTCGATGCGTAGGGTGTTCACAAACCAGCGTGGTGGTCGCGGCCGATGATTCAGTCATTGCTTGGGGCGCCAGTCCAACATTTGGCGAACTGGTAAGTCATTTTCCTAATAATATTGAAGAGAACTTGAAAACAGTCTTACGTTAAAACATTATTCCTTTGCCAATTGATTTAGGGTTTCGGTGAAATGCGGAAATCTTCGACCACGCCGATGGAAGTGAAAGCGTTAGAAGGTTTATACATCACTGCCATTGCCTGCGGTGTCTCTCACACGCTCATGATCTGCCGAGACGAGTCCGAGGAAGAGAAAGCTAAGATCAATAAGCTTCAAGTGTATTCCGTTTAGATCGCACGATCCGCAACACGTATAGAGGTAACAAGCTACGAAAAGATTACTCGATCAGCGTGCTAAGAAGTTCTTCTGTGTTCATCACAACCGCCCCACGAACGGATCATAAAAACCCCAGAAATGTATCGCCACATTCGAATCGATAAGTTGTCCCGATAACCGAGAAAAATCGTAGACAAAAGGAGGAGGAGGAGGAGGAGGAGGAGGAGGAGGAAGATCTGTGAGAGCGGCTCTCGGAACAGACCGCTCAGGAAACGTCCATATTGACTACAGACTTAAAAGTTATTACTTTATTATATGTACTTCCACTTTTACTTAACGTACGAACGAACGAACGAACGAACAAACGAACGAACGAACGAACGAACGAACGTTTACCGTGAATAGGGAACCCCCGTTTTTGTTAGTAGCTCAGGATTATAGACCAAACAGATAGATGCAGAAAAATATATTTTGATACGTTGCTATTTTATTGAAATATCTCTGTATCTTCGATCAGAAATGAAAACATGTATGCAGAAGAGTGCTGGAAACCGGACAGGAACCCGTTATGGAATTTCACCGAGATTCACTATCCGTACTTTTTCCGTTTTCACATATTTTTTCCTTTTTACCCCGACATGTGGAAAAATAGCCTGTATCATTGATTCATTGCAGTAGTACCTGAATCATTAACACTTCGCGGTCCGCGGGACAATCGGAGCTGTCGCGTTCCTTCATTCCCGTCGATTAGAAGACTCTTTAAAAGAGAAACTGCTGAAACCTGGTGTTGCCGAGCAACGTTTCATTTTTTTCTTCTTTTACAATAAATGTATAACGATATATACATATATATGTATATGTATATGTACAAGAAGGCCCCGTGCCAGTCAGCGAAACGCGAGTGTTAAACCTGCAAAAAATCAGTTTTATATTTTGTATACAAAGACGATGTAGAATTAATTATAACTAGACCGCGGATGTTTATGCGAACGTACATTTTTAAAGTTTTATTTATTAAGCTGGAACTTGAAACGGACATATTTATGTTCCTCGTTGAAGAATTTATTTGTGTAAAAATAGGAATGTCATCGTTAAATTTCTTCAATTCTCATCCGTTTTCCCGTGTGCGCAACATCCACGGTTTAATTATAACGAACCGTATCTTATGGTTTAAAACGGTTGATGTTTTTTTCTTTTATAATAGACACATAGAGGGTATTATTGATGCTGATATTTTCGAAGCTCGTCTATTCGACGATCCAACAGCAGACCTTCTGTTCCGTTTCGAACGAACGTAAAAATGCTTCCACAAAATACCAGCATTGTTTATCATACTTACGAAACTAAGAGTTGCTTTGCAGTTACACGAACAAAAACAAGGAAAGTCGTAGCGAACGGTATACACTCTGTTGATTGTAATAAAACGCGGTTCGCAACATCGTACACCGTCGGAACTTGAAATGTATACGCGTTCGTATTTTTAAACTGTTCGTATCCCCCCCCGTAGCGAGTGTAATCGGAATTTTATATTGTAATTTTATTTTAGAATTACGTGTTGATAGATGCCACAAGGAAAGAAGAGACTCCGCGAGGAATTTAGAAAACTAACAATAAGTTGTTTATACTTTTTTACAAGATGCGATCACAGCACATCACTGCCACGATACATTTCGAGTGTATTTTGTGATGTCGAGCATTCATTCCTTTTCAATTTCATTAATTGTTCACGCACGGATACAGCCAGTATCTGTTTTCGTACACGGGAGACGAGTGTACAAGGAAAATTACAAAATAAACGAATTTTTTAAGCAATTTCTATTAAACGGTGTTTTAAAGTGTTCACCCTTTGAAGGTATTATGCGTAGAACTGTTGGCAAGCTTCAAATTTGTTTAATGAAGCATTATCGATTTTACAGGAGCTACAGTATTGAGAAAATTGGCAAGACTCGAGTTTCTTTGATAGTACTTCCATTTTGCATGAACTGCATACTTCTGGAAATTCACAAGGTTCCTGTTTCGTTATTGGCTTGGTTACGCATTTCCAACAAGCTTCCTTAATACGATGTAACTCCTGACGCTTCTTACAAATTATACAAGGAATATTTTTCATGGCTTCCTCATTCTGATCTTTAATTAACTTCTTCTGTTCCATGTGTTTTCTCAGCTATTTAAAAAAGGATTGCTTATCAAGCCATTTTATTGATTAGTCATTGGAAAATATTTTTAAATTATTTAAAAAGAAGTAGTAAGAATTATAGATAATGCTAACAATTAGTTTACGATCCATTGCTACTGTAGCTAATGCAATACTTTCTTTGATACTTTCTTTCTTTTGTTGATTAATATTACCGTGTTTCCAATGAAATAGCTCATATGCTAGATAGTGCAGAGGGTCTGACGGTTTGTATTTTAAAGTTCTAGCCATTGCCCATGCTATTGGCACCATAACATTCTGTCTATGATATCAAAGTAAAGAGTAGAAGTTTAGTAAGTTTAATAATTAATCGCGTTTACCTTAAATAATCATTTCTTTGAACAATCTGTTCTTCTGTTGTTTTTCTGCCTACTGTAAGATAACATTGGCAATCACGTTGCAAATGATCTGATACATCACAAGCAGTGGAAATGCTATCAGACTCAGTCATTTTGCTCAGACTATTCATTATTTGTAAATTACAAGTATCTGATTCCAAAATAGTTAAGAAACATTCACATATTATTTCCTGTATGTTATATTTAATATCATATGCGAGTAGATATGGTGAAATTAGAATAAAAAAATTAGCTGTTAGAACCTTACATGTGAACATTCTTCTTTAAATTGATTCAGGCCAATATCAGTCAACATTTGTTCGATTTCTTCGTTAATTCCATATTGTTCTACTAATTCTATTACCTCTTCTTCTACTCCAATATAATTTAAGAATTTCGGAATCTTATGCGATGCTTGCTTAAGAGAAGATTGCCAATTAAGAATCCCAGGAATGTCAATACCACTGAACAGTAAGTGACAAAGCATGTATGAGCTTTGAAGTTCTACTCCATGTATAATAATGTGCCAACAGTCTAATTCTTTTAAACCAGTAGTTCTTAAATTTGATATTAATTCATAGCTAAGTTTGTCAATCCACATGTCTTTGAATTCTAATATGTACGAATCAACGCGGAAACATTTAAAATAAGAAAGTTCACATGAATTAAGACTAATAAGGCCGAGCTTCATTGCTTTTGCAATAGTGTACATGGACATACCTGGAATAGTATGCAATCAATGAAAAATTTGTTAATAATATAACTATAGCGTTGATAGTTACCATTTTTTTGTAATGTTCTTAAAACATACATATTGTATAATCCACTATGTATGGTGACCCATAATCGTTTCTCATTTACAATTTCAGTACGCAATTTTGTCGAACTTATTTGACTTTGAATACATTGTTTTAATTTATTTGCAAGTAATTCTAAGAATTTGGTTTTACTCCATGTACCATATATTTGAAGACCTCTATTTGTTAAAATGATATTTAATTTTGTTTTACTTAACAGTTCTTCTGTTGACGAACATGAATATGTTACAGAAGAATTTCTGTAAACGCGGAAAGTTTCATTTATAAAATTGTTAATTCTTCGAAAAATTAAAATTAAGGGCTACCTTTTATCTTTAACATATTCGTTTTCTGTATTCATATGAATTTTCTGACACATCATGTTTCATTGATGTACATATATATAAATCAACTTTCGAAATAAAAGTTACGTTAAATAGATGATTAGAAGAAAATGTTATGGTAGGCAATTGTTTCAATTAACTATATTGGCATGTATTATTGATTTCATAAAAACATTTAAAAATCAAGAAGATCCGAAACCTACACTGGTACAGGTTTCTGCATGAAATACAGAAAGTACTTTATTTACAAGTACACTATAACGGTTTCATCTATGCAACACTTATTACATATCTTACCTTCACAAAAAGAAAAGCGCATATAAAGTTGAAAGACTGAAAAAATGTATAAATATAATGTCACGCAATGATACATGTAAGTACGTATGTATCGATGACGATATGCATTGCATTCATAGTTTGTGCAAAAGGTAGTTCATTTATGAAGGTGTAAATAAAGCAACGGAGTTTTTAAATGCTACATAAAGTAAAAGCTATAATTTCTGAACGCGGTAGCAATAAAATTTTACTAGATCTATTAATTTAACTTGTGTATGTATGCAAGACATATTTACACGAATACAAATTTAGTATTACAAATGTCTATATAAAATTCAGCTGCTAAATGAGAAAATTATTAATTGAAAACAACTTCATATATATATTCTCAATTCATACGAGGTTTGATAAAAAAAAAAGTATTAATAATAATTATATTTGCTTCACAGCACTAGCACAGATATATTTTAGCGCAACGCCATTATAATCTTATGCTCCCTAAACCTTAGGCCTCTGCTTCCTCTCATATTTTCCAATTTTCTAGAAGAGATTTGACGATTTCGGCACAATTAAAACACACAACACAGAGAAGCTAAATAGGTTCTCATTAGCTAGACTTCTAACGATCTTTTTTACAAGTGGCAGCGATGTTAGACCAAATGTACATTATACACAGGGGACTATTTTGAAGAAAAGCTAATAGCGTGTTCAGCTTATATAGCTTAATCCCCCATTATAATCGTGTTTTTAATTTATTAAAATGATTTTATTATTCTCTCCACGCGAACCCTCGAAAAGCGGTCACTGAGACAGTTGGGTGCAGGCTTGGCCAGGTCAAGTTTAACTAATAAATTTTGGATCACGACTGACCCGGCTTCTGCCAGCATAGAATTAAAATCTTCTCGTTCCTCCCCACTTACTCAACATACGCCCTCTTTACTTTTATCAGCCAATATGACAACAGAAAATTATTTGTTCTGTTCTCTAGAGCTGCGCGAACCGCGAGTTGAACATGAACAGTTCTAATTTATATGTAAAATGCATGATACTTTTTTTTATCACCCATCGTATATAAAAGACTTTTTCTTCCGATATATTAACACAAAACAATTAACATGCTGAGTTACTCATGTTTGTTCTTTAAATTCCCACAAATCAGAATTTAATTTTGTAATTAATGTTAAACTATATTTAAGGAGTAACTTTTGTTGTAGTTATCACTGATTGAATGTTATATCACACGGCAGTTAAACCACGCTGCAATAACAATTCGATGACATTTCAGGCGGACGTTCTAGTGTGTCGTCTACCAACTGTATATCCCTCCTTCCTCTGTACTTCGCTCCTCTCACACTACCATTATCATAGTGTCTGGTTATGTTCCGATCCCAAAGACCCGGTGTTTGTATTATCTACAGTTACAATGCAATTTAATTCTCTACCTATCAAGTTAAAAGGAAAAAGTTTTTACCTTTTGTACAAGTTCCTCAAAGGCATAGTTAATCCCATCTGCTGATTTAGCGCTACTCTCGATGTACAACGTTTGATGTCTCCTAGCGAACTCCAAGCCTTCCTGAGTACTAATCTTCCGGTCTGGCAAATCAATCTTATTGCCTACCACCATTTTGACAATGTCTTCCTTGTGGCTATAAGTGTCTAATTCGCTCAACCATTTTTCCAGCTTCTTGAACGTATCCTCCTTCGTCACATCATATACCAATATGGCACCCTGGGCATTTCTATAATAGCTAGGCGACAGAGTACGAAAACGTTCTTCTCCAGCTGTGTCCTGCAATGAATTTTTATTCAGTTGTAGGATTAAAGTTAAGTTTTAACTTGTAATCGAATCTTACATGTTGAAACAAAAGTAACTAACCCAGATAGAAAGCTGTATCTTATTACCATCGAGTACAATGTCTTTAGTCTTAAAATCTATACCAACTGTGATCTTCGTATTCTCTTCAAACGTATCCTCTATAAATCTTATCAGGATGCTGGTGACAAAAACTGATATATGAACAGACCTGTTTGTGTTACATATGAAAATAGGAAAGTATTTAATTTGAAAAATATACCATGACTTCCCAACACCGCTCTCCCCTATAATTAACAGCTTTAACTTTGTCAATATATCGTGTTCTGTCTCCATGACTGGAACCGTGAAATGACCAATAAATATTGCTCCTTCTTAGTGCGAACACAAATAATTGCTGCAACATGAGATTTCTTTGTAAATGCACAGAGATACTCCGATACCAGGAAACAAGGACAATGAATTCATCACCGACATGTTGTCATTAAAACTAACCAACTGGAACATTGTCTAATGATGAAATACCAATGAGAAATACAGATTGTTTTAAAGATATTTACTGGTACATAAAATAATAGATTACTTGTAGGTACATCTAACAAAAGGGGAACAAAAATAGAGAATTCAATCTCTCTCAATGAAGGAAGACAAATGTATCAAAGCTCTGAACAAAAGCTTACCTGTGAATACGACGTCACTCGAAGCTAACTCATTGGCAATCACTTCGTAATAATCAACACATTATCAATTACAAGCACCTACATCATAAACGTGACCTAGCGATAAGAGAAACGTCAAAACAGTTAGAAGAGTGCCAGCTAAACAATACAGGTGTCGCTTCTATACATTTCCAACACTTATTGAATGGAAAAGAATCGTGCCTCTATTTAGTGTGTTAATTCATTTTCAATTTCACGAAACAAAAACGCGAAACAAACCACGAAATTACATCGAACGATAGTGGACAACGTTCCTCACGAACTGTTCGCCGAAACGACAAAAATGGTCAAATAGTTGTTACGAACGTGCCACTTGCGAATATCAAGACGAACTACCGAATCGTACCTACTAATTCCTTGTATCGAGGGGACACGATGAAGCCCGTAACGTGGAACAAGTGACCCGAAGAATTCCTCGGCTAAAATTATATATTCCGAAATGGAAAAAGATATGGCCGTTCGAATTCCTAACCTTGCCCGTCCGTTCGCGTTATGACATACCAGACGATAACGGTTTCGCCAGCCGCGCCGTAGCCGGATTTTACAAAAAAATGTGAATCCCCGGTGACAGCACTGAAAAAACCGGCGCGAAGATACTTGATCGATGCTCGGGCCGGCTTAAAATCCGCGAAATACCGCGATCGACGAGGGAAAAAAAGGGGGAAAAAGACAAGTAAACCGTGTCGCATCGAGCATGCCATCCGCGCGAGCTTTGTACCCTAAACTCGCTGGTCTCTCTCATGAGTACTCACCGGCGAGCACTGGAAAACCTGTGTGCGCGATCCCATGCCCGTACGTGCACGAAATCACGGGCGAAGTAAGTTTTCGGTTCGCTATAGTGGCAGAACGATAAAGCGAGCCGAGCCGACGGAAAAAAAAAGATGGCCGCCGGTAGGCTGCCATGAAGGGGCTGCGTCGCTCGCGCTTGTGGAAATGGGACGTTGCGACATCCAAGTGTCACCGTCGTCGTGCCCGTGAAGTGTCACAAAGTGTTCCCGAGGTGACGTGAAAGTGTTTTGTGTTCGTTCTCGCGACGGGGGATTGATTTTCCGCGATGGCATCGGACGGGTAAGAGGACTATTTATTTCCGCTTCTAGGGGAACGGTGATCCGCGGCGAGACACACGGCCCGCCTCTGTGGGGGCTATGTTTCCGCAGATCGATAGTGAATTTTTTTCCCAGTGACCCGTCCCAGTTTTCTTGGGAAAGAGGCTCGGTCGTGATCCTCGAGCCACGGGAACCCGTGTTTCTTGTGCTTCCTCCGATTATTCCGATTCACAACTGGGTGGGTTTCGATCACCGAAACGAATCCCCATCGCATTTCAAACCTCCTATGGGATATATTATCGTGGGTCTTGCTCCCGTCCTCCTTTCCGTCTTTTTCTCTTTCTCCTGCTAGCTCCTTCACTCCCATACTATCTCTCGCTCGCACGTTTGCTCGCTCGTTCGCTCTTGTCACTTTCAATTTTTTTCTTTTCCCTTCGCTCCTGTATACAACTATGTGCGGACGAATTTCTGCTGCCTATTCAGTCAATTAAACAGATAGCATGACATCAGACAGTTGCTCGTATTACGGCTAGCATTCCTTTTAATTTATGGTTATGGGGTGGGGGTGAACACCCTTTTATCACGACGGAACCTTCGCTCGATTTTAAATTGTTTCTGTTTTTACCCTGTTTCCCCCCGTGATCATTGACAGTGAGACCATTATTGCGATTATCTGATCCCTTGTTAGTGTGTGTGTTCACTCGTGTGTGCGCGCGCGCGTATGTGTGTGTGTGTATGGTATGTGCGTGTTTTTTTTCTTTTCTTGTACGTAGAAAGATATTCCCGATAAACGACGGCCTCGCCACGGTTTACCGTAGATTCGGCAGAATGCTATTGATTAATTATTTATAACTTACGGTTGATCCGAGTGATTTGCAATTTCTTTTGCTGCACCGACAACGGAACGGACCGCTCCGTGAACCCGCTCGTTGCATAAATGTATTTAATCGCGTTCTTCCTGTGTTATTCGCAATTTCTTCCTGACTTTGTTGTATTATTTTTAGAATTTTTAATTATAGCGATAAAAACGAGCAACAAATTTATCTTTTATTCTCCCTACACGCCTTAGTGGTTTAATGTGCGTTTATAGGAAGTATGAATAGTTTTAAATGTCACGAGTCTTAGAATTGTTTAAATATATTCCGTTCGTTCG